ACATAAGGCTCCGTTTGGTTAGGCATGACATTGAACCGGACGACAGCAAAGCTGCCTACCACCAAAGTTGGGTGGTGGTGGCTGGACTCGAAACATAGGATCCGAAGCACGATGGTGACAGTGATTAAACCACTGCACTGCCATCACCCATACATATATATATATATATATATATACAGCGAATCAAATAAAGTATAATGACTTGACTTACGAAATTCTAATACCTTATGCAAAATTAATACATCGAGAAACGATTTTATGGTTTAAATAATGATTAATTTATCGTCAACACCAGCTGTAGTTCATTTACCGATTCACTAAGCTCCCTATGTAAAGTATCTGCTAGCATATGACAGCAGGTTAATATATACGTCAAATAACCAAAATGTTCAATCTATAGATTAAAAAAATAAATTAAATTGAAGAAAATAATTCTAATGTCTTCATCTAGTTTTGATTTCTCCTTTTTCGATTGTGTGCCATGGGCAACTATTTCCTAGCTGCAGCTTTACCGGTATCGATATATATAATATATATAGTTAGGTTTTGGCTTGAGGCACACAGTGGTTTTGGTTTTTCGTTTCTACCTAGTTCCGACACCAAAATCCTTGGCGTTTAACTCCTTTTGGTGGAAAGCTTCCTACGACGCCATTCTTGAGGGGAATTGATGTACTTGCTTCAGATGGACACCGTAACATCCTCAAGAGTTGTACCTATCTTTGATCCGCTTGTTCCGCATATATGCTTTCGCATGGCTGCATGATTGCTTGCTTGGAGCATCCTTTCTATCATGGATTTCGTCAAGATCGTCGATATCCTGATGCCATTTTTTCAGCCAGTTCTTCCATCCTTGTTTAAATCACTGGCAGCTCCACTTTGAACGGTGCATGAGTTCAGTGTTACACCTTCGCTTGCTAAGCCTTTCGTTTTCTTATACACTCGAAAGTAATCAGGTTAACCTTCCGCTGCTTTAAAGAAAACAATATATCTTCCATTGACTAACTGGCTGTTGTTCCTTATATCTGTCGTGTTGTCGAGAATCACGGAATATTAGAGACCGGATCGCTTACACAGGTCGTGAGATAGTATCTTCATTTCTAAAATATTATGCTATACCCAGAGGTAGTATAGAAGCAAGGTCTTAGGGTTTTTAGGGTTGACTTGCTTATTGTTTCCCAACTAATCTTCCTTATGGATATCGTACTGGAACCAGTTTCCTACCGGAAATCAGCTGAAGGACAGGGACTGGAATGAGTTTGAAGCTTGAGAAGAAAAATCCTTCCTGCCAGAGAATCTGTACGCTTGGTTGGCGAAAGCCTTTTCCATCCTGGGATACCTGAATTAACCTGACCAATTTAATTTATAAATAGAATATTATGGTTTTCATTTATACTTGTTCTTTAGCTACTTTTTATTCGTTTCTAGTTTAGTCTTATTGGGCAAATAAAGATGCGAAATATGGCTCGTAATGAGGATTGCCCAAGGGTTACTTAGTTCGGAACATTACGTATCAAACCTTAAAATATAATGGTTCGGGATTCCTATAAGAATTACGTGATTGAATTAAGGGATGCCGAGTGTATCCATGCAACAATTATTAGGGATAAAAGTTATTATTAGCGTTCGGGAGTGTGGCTCTGAGTCAATCTACTCAGTCCAGTTTCTGTCGTTCAGGGTGCAGGTTTGCAAAAATAGTGCGACTAGGTTGTTCGATGAACGATGAGTAGTGGACTTTTTGTTTAGAAAAGATTCCGAAATTGCAGTGAATTGCTGCCGAAACTTTTGTTATAGACGTCGACATTTGATAAATACTAAACAGTGATTTTTCGGGGGACGAAACTGTACGTTTCCGTTGACCAAACGGTGATGCTCGCGCTGACTGGGTATATATGGAATGTTCTGTGTATAGAGTATATATATATCCGGGCAGCACAGGTGTACACTTGAGAGTTTCCGTTGAGTCACCAGGGGGCATGCCATCGAAATACAGGTTTTTATGAATTAACTATTCCAAAATCGGATTCTTTGTGCTTACAATGTAAGCATAGGTAGGATTAAATGAGTTGCACATTTGATAACTTTTGCATAGGCAGTGAAGTACCTATACGGAAACGCGATAATTCGAAGCTTATTATTATTAGTTATCTTTATTCAGAGACTCAGAGCTTAAATCGCTATGAGTTGACAATCGAAATATGGCTACCAATTTTTAATTTACCCCGACAACCACCGAGCTTGTTCAATAGGGTACACAACGGTGACTACTGGTAACTCAACAGTAACTGTCGTGCTACTTGAGTATATATATATAAGCGTAACATTACGTTTAAATTTGTATAAGGAACACCAGAACCATGGTGCAGGATCCAGGAGTTCATCGAAGATCCACTTTTACCTACTTCATATATAAATAATATCCTATGTGGTATATTCCTGCCAAACTACTAGCGCGTTTTCTCGCCGGAATTTCGTTCTCCAAATCGTGCTTTTCCGAAATAGTAACCTAAAGCGTCTCGAGCAGGATTATATGCGCTACAAAAATTCCAAAACTGATTATCCATTAGACAAATGTGCACCAGATATATGCTGCAGCAATTCGGCCAGTCCTGCTCTACGGTGCAGAGACTTGGCCACTAAAGGAACAGGATGAAAATAGATTG